TCCTTTATGAAAATGATCAATTTACTGAATACAATCCTAGCTTGAGCAAACTTGAACTATGCGGTCAAAACTGCAATAGCGGCAAAGAAAGACGCGACAAGGCCAGCGCTACTTCAGTATTAATCTTCCATCGCATTGCTACGGCGCAATGATACAACTATTCGTACTCTCCGGAATGCGGGATGTATCACACCACATTGAAGGCGCTTTCAAAACTACCAAATTTTCATATCGGGATTTTAGTGTCACATAAATAAAGTGTCTGCTGCAACTGTAGACAAAAATTAAGTACTACCACAGAACTTTTTCAGAACCTTTCCCAACAATTCAGTGCCGCATAAGCAGAAAAATTCGGTACTTTTTCGGCACCTTTAAGTGACGAAATTCGAAAATTGTCGCTAGAAAAATGACGTAGTCACGAAATTCAAAGCTCATTGATAGCCTGAAGATCGCCTGGCTTCACAATCACGATCTAGCGGGAAAATATTGCACTAGGAATCATCATCGCAACGGATACCATATTTTCCAGGCTGTTTTATAAAAAAAAAAAAATAGTGTATTTCCTTAAAAAAAATACACTAAAAACCGTGGCACGAAGCAAAAAATTCCGGACATTCCACTGTGGTGGGGTGTCATAACTGAATTGCATTTTGCAAAAAGGAACTAAGATCATTCCAATGTCACTAAGATTGTGCAACTTTTTTTACCTTGCAAATATATGCTTATCATTGAAACAAATTTCATCTTTACTCCCAAAGAACTAGAAATTCAAGACGAAAATTACCGTTGTAAATTTAATCTATTGAGTGATTTCAGTGATTTTACTGTAAAAATTGTAAGCAGTACAATCCTAGCAACGTTGTAATGCTCTTGGTTCCTTTTTGCAAGACGTAATCCAACTGGCCTCCCCTTGAAAGCCTCTATTCCAGCTATCGGTTATTTGTAGCTGCTAAAATACTCAGCCTCTGAAAATTCCGTTTAATTTCATGCAACTTTCTCGGTGGAAAAATTTCATGTTGCATTTCTGAGCGCGATCTTGGGTCAAGCTGCGAGATTTGACAACTGACGCGGGCCACATTCCTCGAGCGGCGCGCGAGGTGGGGGTGGGAGAGAATTCGGATGTGGGTCATTCCTCCACCTGTTGACGCACAACCCACTCCCTCCCCCGACCACGGGACAGTTACACAATATTAGCGCCCACCCCTCCGTTTCAGAGCTATCGCATTATTTTCGCCCCGCCGTGGCGCACAGTGGAGTGCATTAAGAAGAAAGGCAGGCACGATGCGGATACAGCTACTCTGTCTTCCTATGGAAGAACGCCGTATAAACCTTTAGGCGTTGCCAAATTTCCTTTGATAAAACACAAATTTTCTGGTAAACATATGACATTTTCCCCCAATTTTTCATAAAATTTTGTTCGCAATTTCACCTAAAGTTTCTGAAAATTTCAAGGAAAAATATTCATAACTTGCCTTAAAAATAAACATTTCATTGAAGGAAATTTGACAACTCTCGAATGTTCATACGGAGTTCTTCCTCAGCACGGCAGTACTTCAGAAGCTTTCATTTTTGTTAGTATTAAGCGTAGGGGTTTGAAGGGGGCTTAATTGGTTTCCGTATACTATTTCCTTCAAAAAGCACTCGTTAAAATTTGAATTGTAACGAAGTAGACATGAAATCTAAAAAAATTTCGTAAAAAATGTCTTATTCGATCTCTCCTTGTGACTCACTCCACTGTGCGGCGCATTCAGAGCAAGGCGCGATCCAGTGTCATTGTCATCGGGTTGGCTCCGCTCTGTCTCTGGCCTCTAATCCAGTCTCGTTGGGGAGGTTTTCCCTAAATCGGATGGAATTTAGCATCTACGCAGCCCCTCCGATCAGATACCGACGAGGTCAGATTTGGATTCCAAGGTCAGAAATTCTCACAATCGGACACTCGAGCTGGGAAAAAGTTGCAAGAAAAATTCTCCGAGTTCTGTTGTTGCTCGAGTAGGAGTTTATATCACCGTAAAATAAATGTTCAGATAAATAGAGGAAAACTTTGACTTAACTCATTTGCACGAAATTTGTTTTGAATGTGGACGCGCTTCGTGAGTCCAACTCACATCTTCAGTGCAACTGACAAAGAAAAATTGCCGTATGAACATTCGAATATTGCTAAATTTCTCTTGAAATAGAACGTATTTTCAAGGAAAGTTAAGAATATATATATACTTTTTTTTTTGACAGTTTTGGCATGTGGCGAACGAACTACTCTGAAAAGGGGGTAGAAAATATTCAAAAGTTGCAGTTTTAAAAGTTCAGTGTTTTATTAATGGAAATTTGGCAACAGCCGCAGCTTCATAGGGCGTTTTTTCATTCGCAAAGCGGCATAGTTTTCATCCCTAAACTACAAATCCTCCCAATCGTGGAATTAGGATGGTGAGGAATACAGCGAGTCAGGTGGGCTCATCGACCGTTTGGAGACGAAATCGCTACTAGTTTGCCTTCAAATTTGGCGATGCAACCCAACTCCACACCGAAGTTAATTAGAACTGGGGAAAGAAAAGAAGAGACAAAAGTCACATCAGTCTGGATGCATCAATCATCAGTTGGCCCATTCGTTAGCATGTAAATATCTGTTGAATGGTGCAATATATTGGATGTGACATTTGTCTCTTTTTTTCTTTCCCCAGTTCTAAGTTGCATCCACCGATTGGCTATATTTTTAATGTTTCTACGTATCCTGACACTCTTTTATTACATTACTAGAACATTACTACCCTTTACATTTAATGACGTAGCCTCTGAGTGAGGATGGAGTCTGTGCGGCGCTAGCGCATCTCCGACTGCGGGTAAGTAAAGTCAACTGTTCCCGGTGTCCACGGAAGGCGACAGACCGTGGGGTGCGGGGGGCAGGGCTGAAGGGGGGGGGGTTACTCCTCTCCAACAATAAAAAGCGATCGCGGACGGATTCAGATACTTCCTCGTTGGTGAGGTCCAATTCCTTCCCTGCCGCCGCCACCACTGCGCTCCCCCGCGACCCGCGAGTAACTTTCTCCGGCAGCGCGCCGCGCGGTGGTCATCCGCGGCCACGCCGGACATTCGGCTGTTGCCAAATCGGCCGACGGAAATGAAGTCGTTTTCGTGATGGCGCACAGAGGAAGCTGCGGCGAGCAGTTGGAATACTGTCGTGCTATGTACAAACACCGTACGTTGTCAAGTTTCCTTCGATAGAAGCCAACTTTAGAAGGAAAATTGTGAATATTTTTTTCCAGAATTTTCAGACGATTTTACATACAATTTAATCTAAAATACTTGAAAATGTCATGGATAAATATGCATGAATGTCGTCATAAATACATGTTTTATCAAAGGAAATTTAGCAACTCTCTAATGTTCATACGGCGTTCTCCCTTAGCAGCACGGCAGAATAGATGGGGCATAAATTAGCCATCTACGCGCAACTGCAAATTTTCAATATTATTTAGTCACATAATAAATTTTAGGGGGTGTTTCTTCACGGAATTTTGAAAAGAAACCTAATGGCAGGGGAGCAGAAAATTCTTTGGCCTGCGCGGTTTCAAGTAACCAGGGATTCAGCCATTGCGCGTTCGTAGTATTTTTTACCAAAAATTAGCGCGTTCGCGGTCATTTCTTAAGAATAGAGGTGTTTTCTCCCATCCAACTTTTCTACTCTGCGTTAAAGTCTCCGGGTCAGCCAAACAGAGTTTACGTTCTCCTTCATTTCGCGGAAAAGTATGCAATTCCACCTACTTGGAAGTCGAAATAATTGTATCGCGCGTTTCTCCCCATCCAACTTTTCTAATCTGCGTTAAAGTCTCTGAGAGAGACTAACAATAAGCTCTTTTCAGCTCCTGCAAAACTGTGCGCATACTTCAAGCATCGCGCTATCGGTTCCTGACTCGCGAATAGCGCTAAGTTCCGTTATTATTTCCAACACTTCCTACAGAGAGACTTTTTTCCATGAACGACACCATTTCCGAGGAAATCGATGATGAAAACCGTCCGTACCGACCTACGTCATCGACAGAATCTGAGATTCCCAAAATGCGACGTCCTTTTTTATCCATGCTGTGCGGCGATTCTCGCTGGGTGGCGAAAAAAATCGTGAAAGACAATCGATATCTATCGGAGCGGACTACATCGGCCGGGATCGATCATTTGCGATGGATTTAAATCGAGAAGAAACGGTGTTGCTAACTTGCGAGTATTGGACAGCATAGCTTAAAAAAACTTCTGTTCCTGGCTCATTTTTGAAACAATGTAATGTCCTTGCTTTCCCTCCGCAGATGGGTCATTTGATAAGCCAGAATTAGTTCCTTGATGAAAAATGTACCCTAAATGATACTGGTTTATATCACAGTTCAGCGGCGCTGAGATGCCTAAGGAATTTTTATTGGCCAAAGAAATTTCATGAAATTTTGTGGAATTTTTGGAGGGTGATGGAGGAGCCCGTAACAAAGTGCAAAAAATTCGAGAGGGGACTGAGAGAATGGACACATTACACCCACGTAATTTACACTATAATCTGACGGTTTAAGAGAATTTACTTTATGAAAATTATGCAGTTTCCTCAAATTAAATATACTCCTTGTTGGTATTTTATTGAATCAAAGTTCATGAAATTTTGCATCTCTCGTGCTGATGGACTAGCAAGTTTGGCGGGTCCCTTCTTTGGATACCTACCATGAAGAAATTCATCCGATAATTCTAGCAGAGTGATTGTTTAGAGAAATTTGTTTTAAGATTCTATTTCATTCCTGTTCACAAACATTAATACGATCTAATTATCAACGAAAAAAAATAATTTTCTTTGATTTTTAAGAGAGTGTGAGCAATCGTCCTTGGGGGATTGTAAAGAACATCAAATCGAACAATAACAAAATTTAGCCGCAGCTCAATTCCTTCTTTTTCAGCGCTGAGTCCTTCATACACTCTATAGTAATTGCTAGGTTACAAAAGAAAATTTTAGTCATGTAAAATGATGAACTGCTTACCTCAGAGTACCCCATGGCGATCAACTGTGCAAGTGCCTGCCGGAGAGCGTTGAGTTCCTTGTCTACACCGTTGGACGTGGAGCTATGTCCTGAAGCTGAACTCACGCCACTGGTTGTCGAGAGGGTAGATATAGTACTTGCAGCACTCGACCCAACGTTTCCTGACTCGCATCCGATGTTTGCAAATGGCAGGAGGGAGTTTCGTATGGCAGCGAGCGCTTTCTGATGGTAGCCCGACGATCGGGTCGAGGACTTGCCCGAAGATGCGGGGTTCATAGTGACACCAGGCTCCTGGCCCATACTAGGACATCTTCTCCCCCCTCCCCCCTCCACATTCACACTCAAACAATGAAACACCGCGAAGCACTTGCTGCACTAGCAGGGTGAATATCATTGGAATGGGCTGGCAACATAAAACTTCACCCGTCGGGGGGTCTCGTCATGTATAAAACTGAATTCCCCCGATCATTAGATTTAAGACATTCGAAAAAGCGATTGACGATAAAAAAAATAAAACCGTCGAAAAGATTTCCAAAATTGATTTGGAACCGATTTTATGATTGGAACATTGCGAAACTGCACGAAAAATGTGAAAAAGACACTAAGAACGGGTGAAAATCTCGAAATAGAATTAAATCATGGTCACAAAAATTTTACACGACGGAAAAACGAAACACTAAAGCTAATAAGGCTTCAATAAGGCATATCCAGAGGGCAACGAACGCACTTTTCAAGGCAGAAACTAGGAAAATTGAGCAAATTCACACTCTAATATTATTCTGCCTTGGACGATTCCATCATCAACACTGACGCACATTTTCACAGCAAGGAGACACTCAAAGGAAATGATCCGAACATGCTGTCACTTTACATCCAAATATGATCATTGCTAAATTTGATCCATGCAAGCAGAAACAACACCAGATCTGAAACAAAGAGAGACCTGAATAAGTGTGTGGGCATAGGAGCACTTGAGCAAAAATGAGGTGCAAATATAATAACAACAAATCCATGGAGCTTTTGTGTGCAGGATTGGCTTATTTTGAGAATGAAATAAATGCGCTGGTATCCCAATGACGCTATTGTCCTTCCAGAAATAGCCAATTTGTAATAATTGGATAACAGCCTAAAACCCTGGAGACAGCATCGATGCAGCAAGCACAAGCATAACTGTCAGTTGGTGCTGGTTTGTTAGTCAGTTAAGTTATCTCACTTTATTTTGCGGACTAGAGTAGTCAGATGCGTTATGAACTTTAACAGATGCCGCTGATGTCTATGTCGATGGTAGGTAGGTAAAGTGATGTCAGAGTGATCTTAGGTTCCTTTGGGGGGCTATCTGTCTCACTTGCTTTCACTTGACCCCTATGTAGAGCTAGCTTCCCACAAAATCCAATTCTAAGCATTAGAATATATTTTTTGGATATTTTAATTGATACTGCTCAAGCAGTTTAAATATATCTGCCAAAACATTTGAGAAATCCTGCTGATTCCATAAAATTACGAGGTGGAGTGGGCCGTACCAATACTTGAGAGCAAGGGCGACAGGTAAGCATTGCTTGGAACTGTAAGGAGTTGAGTTGGAGGAGACAATGCTATCATGACATCACTACTACTTAGGACGTTCACTGACAATGAGCACAGAGCAACTTAATGAAGAAGGACATTCTAAAAAAAGATTTCAGCTGCGTGAATTTCTTCAGAATGACACAATGACAGAATGCAATTCCCTTCTTAAACAAAGTTACATGGGTATGATGCGTGTTGATGATGACTACAATTCACTTTTCCAGGTATTTCAAAACCTGCATACTTAGTACATATCAGAATACTTGGTTAAAAAATGGTGAGTTAACCACTGTGCCTTATAAAGCGTAGGTAAAGGCAAAGAACATTCTGTACCTTCGATTTGAAGTTATACATACCTCTTTCATGAGAATGCAAGGTATGGTGAATTACTAATGTATTGTAACGTTTAATATTCTGTTCGCACTAGCTTTTAAAAAACATAAAAACCAGGCCCAGCATGCACACCAGCTAAATTGAAGTGCATTTACTTACAGACTACTAACCGCCAATGGTCTTTCTTTTAGTGAACAGTGAGGTCGGTGGGTACACCAAACAATGTAATATACATCACATTTGGCAGAGAGGAACCAGGGCAATTACAGTGTTTTTAAAATCATGCAACTTCTTATTTTCTTTTAAAAATACTTAATATGTGTATAGTATTAAAATTTACACACTTATTTTCCTTTAAAATTGACAATTTTTTGATGGGAAGCAAAAACTATGTGCTATTCTGGAAGATTTTCTAGATAATTATGAAGAAGCATCATTTTTACAACACTGTAACCGTGCTCATCCCTTTTTGCTAAATACGATCCATACAAACTTGCGCACTTCCGTTCACTGATTGGACACCTTACTCCTCAAGTGATCACTGGCACTGGTGATTTTAAATAATGGTGAAAGTAAATGGTGATTGGTAAAATAAACTTGTCCGATACCATTTAATTTCTTTGAGAACTAATCACAACTCAACAGTCCTATCAACTTCTGGAGATCAGCGAGCTTTGGAGAAAAGTGATGAGCATTCTAGTCTAACTACTCGAGTAAAGGTAAAACAAACGAGGTTCAAACGAAGTCAAAATTTTGCAATAACACCAACCGTTTTGCATCAAGTAATTTCATTTTAAAACAGTCGCTGGGAACTTACTTTGACAATACACTTGCATAGATTATCCTAACAGAAACGCACGAACAATAAGATTATCAGACATGGCTGCACTGAATGGTTTTGATTCTTATGGACAAATCTATCAGAGGAGTTCAGAAACGCAACATTGAAACAAATAGATGTCTTTACGAATACAGATGTGCACACCCAACTCGTTCCTTGCCAAGATCTAAGACTGCACTAAACAGATCAATATAAGGGCACACTTCACTAGAGAAACTTGATATTTAAGGAGAACTAACATTTTAATTATTATTTTTATGCAAATGAATGAATTTAAGTCTAGCCATGTGATTACTAAGTAATGAATATCAGTTACTGGAATTGAGCTTTCTACCACTACTATTAACTTCTTTAATGAGGGTCTGTTGAACTTCATTTAGTGATTCTTACAGTGCTATTTTTTAAAAATTTCGGTGAGTAATTGAGAATGATAAGAGAGGAGGGATTTACGATAGATACCAAAATGAAACACACATGGTCTGAAAATGAAAGAACTTTAAACTAATCAATGTCAATAAAATCGTGATGATAATCACCATTGTCAAGCAAAGTATGCACTCACATACTAACAATAATATCATTCTTAAAGAAATTGCTAGCGCAGAAAAACAATCGGAGAACTCAATTCACAGGAAGGAGGAGGGTTGTACAAAGACATTTCTTACTCTCTGGAGCCCTTACCAAGTAACTGACTTGGTAATCTGACTTCAAGCCTAACGGCATAGCTGAGAAGAAGTGTAGAAATATGGTGCTGATGAACTGCACAGGAGGACAGCGACAAATCTAGGAGGATTATGAATTCTTCGCTATAAGTAGACGGACACTTCTATTTAAACTGAGGTGACACATGGAAACATTCAGAGAGATCCACGAACTTACTTGAGAGACTCATGGAAATTATCAAAAGTTCTGGGTGATAACGTCATTTCAGTCCAACAGGATATTTTGGTATGTTCGTGTACATTTGTAGAAATAATTAAGAAATGCAGCACCTAAAAACTCCCCTCAAGTCAAAATATGTAAGGAACTAACCAAAATAAAAAGTGCGACTAAACCCTACAGAATTTCTTTCATAAAATGGCCTTGCAATTACCTAAACATTCTCGCTGGAGTGGCGCGATTAGAAAACCCTCATGAGAGTAACATCCGTTTAAGGATCAAAGTGGACAAGAAAGACCAGGTTAGGTCTATAGAATTTACCAATAATGGGGGAGAGAAAATATTCGAACAAGTCTCTTGAGGACACAGAATGATAACAAAAGTTGTCGGAAAGAAACAGATCTCCAGACCATTTGGCCTACCTGCATCGTGCCGGAGAGTGCAGAAATTCTGGTCGAAAAGAGCAAGAGATCCTACGGTGGCTGGCCAAAGACTTTGCACAACAATTCTGATTAAATAATAGGACGTGCCAAAGATAGTGTCCGATAATGAAATCGAAAACTATGACAATTCTTGCCACAGCATGAAAAGTAAGTTAGGCTACAATTCAGTGGTTACATGGGAGAGATGCCCATGAAGAAACAAAAATACTTCATCATGGAAAAATAAAACACGGCGCCCTGAGAGCAGAATTAACGCACAAAATTGACGTTAAAACAGTTCAAGATTCGGATGAACGATCAAGTTTCTGTTGGTGACGGAGCGAAATACGAGTGAATATAAAAAACATATTGAAGATAGGAAGCCATAATAGAAATTACCATTAGCAACGGAGGGCTCCGTGACTTTCCGAACGTGAAAATGACGTATCCTGTGGGTTCCGAAACTTGACACAAAGCACAAAACAGAGAATAACACTAAAGCTCGTTAGTTTTCACTGCGACACCGAAAATATTGGATAATTAATGATCATCACAAAGAAAACTTTTATCAGAACTAATTTGGCAAGCCATAGGCCGCCATCTTACAGAGCCACATTCCGATGTAGTGATGATAAACCCTTGGAGTCAAAACACCGTACTTCATCGCGCAAAATATCGAGCTCTTGTAAGACTCTTTCGTTAAAATTTTCGATATGAACTCATTTGAAATTGAATTTTGTAGGATTTAAATTGGTCTTTGCCGTTCGATGTAATTTTTACGTGAGTTATAAGTGAAATAGTTCGACTGCGAGAGTTGACACAGCTTGAGTCAAATCCCTCTCATAAAGAATGCGAGGAATGCACCTAAGATTGAATTAATACAGCATTCCAAAATGTGCTCAGAAATGTTCACCATGAATGCATGAGATCTTGTAAAATAAAGCTCTGAAGGTCTACCATCCTGAAGGACACAACCATAGGTTTGACACTTTCCAATGCCAGAACTTTGACTATTATCTATCCAACTTTATAATTAACCAGTGTTTTTCAATTGACTTCGTGCCCAAATTCCGATTTATTGACAAAAAATATTTGTGGTGACAACAGATTGATGACAGATATATACAGCTTCTTCGACCGAAAGTGCACGAAGCATGCCCAAGGCTACTTATTTTGTTGTGTATTAAACGTGGTTAAAAATGCGCACGGTTGTCTGGGCGGGGAGGGGGGGGAGCGGAGAGTCTCGTTAAGTGCTTTACTTTTCTATTTAATACTTGTTCTAATTAATACTTGTTCATATTGATAATTCACGCAGGCCTCTTTAGACTTTTTAAGCTTATAGTAATTAGAAAGAGAGGGGGCCTCTTCGGCCTCTAGATCGTTAATTAAATGCATTTTTATCCATCGCCTTGTTGTGAGCGCGGACCACTATTGTGGCCCCAATGGACCTTTTGCCTACCTCCTAAAATGAAGGAAAAACAAAACCGCGCCATTTACTTACAATTTGTGACTAGTTGGCCCGTTGGCCTACTTACTATTTTGTTGAGTTAGCCTTTGCCTTTTAAAAAAAGTTTATAAACATTTGTCTTTGCGAAAAGGACGCACATATTTTTTTCGGAGCTTATCATAAACTTCTAACAATTATTTCATAGGAATGCGGATCCACTCTCATCTTCCTTAATGTCTCTTCTTAGTTCTTATTTCCACCGGTTTTCCGTAGTTTATTTTTCTACATGATAAATATTTCCTCCACTACATTATCTTATTTTCCCGAACATGGCCGGATTCACCTACTTGCCGCCCATGGGGCTGCCTGTATTTTGCCGCCCCCTTCTCATTCGTTTTGAAACTCGATGAAAACCATCAAATGAACGTGTCAGTGGGGGAGGGGTGAATAAGACGCATTTACTCGTGTTGAACACATTTTTTATGAAAGCCCTGTCAACACTACTAGCAAAAGTTCACGGAACTTTGCGCGAAAGTTAAATTCCGTAAACCTATCTCAGTGTGGACAAGGCCCTCGTTTCATAAGAAATGAACGAAAAAATTATGAAAGAACAAACATAAATGTAGATCAATGATTTTAACTTCCGCCGCCGCGCCGCGCAGACCGCACCGTGTTTGGCGCAATGCGTGAAGTATTCCGACAGTCTTGTAGGCGCTATGCGTTTCACGCCGACCGCTGCTGAACGCACTGTGTTGGACGTAACGCGTGAAGTATTCCGACAGTCTTGTAGGCGTTATGCGTTTCACGCTGACCGTTATGACCGCATTGTGTTCGTTGCAATGCGTGAAGTATTCGTGCAGTCTTGTAGGCGTCAATATGTGTTACATGCCGATCGCCGCATCGCGCCGAGGGCTTCTCCTTTTCATCTCAAGTCCTCGTTATCATTTCTCTTTAAGTCAGGCCGTTCCAGGCCAAATTGCGTGTTTGGTCACTCTCTTAACTCGACTTATTGAAGGTGCTGTCTCTTGTATCACTAAGAGACGACAAAATTAGAAAATACTATACTCTCAGAAAATGAGAGATTTTGTCGCCTTTTCTCGTTTGTAATTTTGTTTTTATAAATCCGATTTTCTTTTATTCCTACACTTTAAAAAATTGCAAACTTTTGCCGCCCCTTCGATTTGCCGCCATGGGCCGCGGCCCATGTGGCCACCCCCTTAATCCGGCCCTGTTCCCTAATTTACTCGTTCTCGGATCTCCTGTAGTGAAGTTCTCATAAAGTTTTATGTAGATGTCTTAAAAACTGTGGATAAATATTTCGAAACGGAACAGTCGCAACTTGCTCCTTCATTTCAAGGAAAGGTAGGTGTCTGCTTAATCTAATAATTTTTTCCCCTGGAAATTTTGTTAAAAAAAGGAGGGGGGGAGAGGGGGAGAGGGGGAGAAAAAAAGAAGAAATGTTAATTTAAGTAAAATTTATTTTAACAACATGCACGCTTTTAAGCTATGTGCAAAGGAATAAAGTCATTTTACTTTTTGAAGCTCGTTTTATCAGGATTACCAACAAAATTATTTTGAATGGGAAAAGTAAATAGAAACAATTATTTGGCATGAAAAATAAAATTATATCACCTAGAAATATTGCACTTTCCCAACTAAGTCTTAAGAAGTATAATTCAAAACAACGTTCGTCCGATCGTAACGTTGCAGGTCTTCCAAATTACTTTTTTTTCATTTTTTTTTTTTTAAACAGAGAAACTAACACGGGCAGAACTATGAAATTGTGGAGGGAGCCAGAGGGGCACCTCATCAAGGGGGGTCTAGGGGACAGGAGACATTAAAAGACACCCAACAAATTGGGATCAGCGGGTCAGTGGCGTAACGGACTTCCGCTGGGCCCCCCTGCAAAATTTTTTCTAGGGCCCCCCCATGTCGATAAAATTCCAAAATCATCCCCCTCCCGCCCCTCTACTTCTCTCACCCCTTCCCGTTTTTTGGCCCGAGAAATTTCAAATCACGGACTTGGACTTGGAATGTCTCTCCCCTCACTGTCCCGGATCCCGTACCCGATTAAATGGGGCCCCTTAAGGATCAAGGATCTAAAGGGTGGCGGGGGCCCAGCCCAGGCCCAAAGATCTACAAAAAGGCCCATGCAGGCCCAAGAATCGAAGGGCCCCCAAGGGCCTTGTGGGCCCTTTAGATTCATGGGTCACCCAAAGCCCGAAATACCTACGAAAAGTGACAAAAAAGAGAGAAATTTTAGTAATCACTGAGTGGACATTGGAAGGCGAGGCGAGGCCCTTCAGCAAAAAAAAAGTTAGGAACAGTCCAAAAGAAGTATGAAAAACCCTGAGCTAACAATAAAAATCAGCGGAAGAAGCCCCATCTCGGTAAGTAAAGGCCCAAAGTTTGAAACCAAAGCTAAGCATCAAAGAGACAGAGAAAAACAATATTTCGGCGGCCGAGGGCCCGGAGGGCCTCCTAGGCGCTTGGGCCCCCCTGCATAGCAGGGTCTGCGGGGGCGCCCGTTACGCCACTGCAGCGGGTCTCCTCCAGCTCCAAGGGTCTGGGGGCTCTCTTCGAGATAAATTCGAAAAATTGAGTCTGCTCAGGAACAATTTTGAGCCGTTCTCACTGGGCCCAATCACTGAACCCCTCACATTTCCAAGGTAGAGTAAAGTAAATTTCTAAATGGGAGAGGTCACCACTCACAAGGCCCAGGCCCACCGGTCGTGCTTTTTAACAATCGCAATCTAGGCACGGGTTTTGGACTTCCACCTCAGTTACGTTGCGTTCAATGCATCAAAAATGCAACAAACATCCATGTCATGACATGGCTAGAAAATTCCCAAGAGATGAAGAANGGGGGGGGGGGGGGCTCAACGGTAGAGGATTTTCTAACGGAGTCCTAGATGTGGCCGCATATGAGAGGGGTCTTAACACCTAAGGACCAAAACAAAAAATGGAGATATTAGTACCAAAATGGACCACTAGTGGCGCGCCAACGAAAATGATTAACCGAGGGAAAGCTCCTATTTTCCCTTTTTGCCCTTCTTTTTCTTCTTCTGGAGGTCGGGCCAGGGAAATCCGCGGCACTTGAGGAGGTCCTGAACGTTGTGGCAGGTGTAGTAGGCGTTTTCCATGGCGTGTTCGTTGAAGATATCAACGTTGCACCGAGCCTTGGATTTTCCCTCGCTTTTCCGCGTCGCTTTTGCCGGTCCCTTTTTCGCTTTCTTCGCCCCCTTGTCGCCCCCGTTCCCTCCTTCCTTTGGCGCCTTCGCCTCCTTCTTCTTCGCTTTCTCCTTCTTCGCCATCCGCGACTCTGCAACAAGCCAAACGCAAGTACTGGAAAAATTGTTGAGAAACATCTTTCAATTTTTTCAAATTTAAAAAAAAAGAAAATTGAAAATAGTTATTTTGGTGCGTAAAATTACTTTCTTAGCAAACATTTTTTTAAAGTGAAATTATTAATGGTCTATGGAGTGGAACAATTCCTGTTGCAATTCAAATTATTAATTTTTTTTTTTTTTATTTTTTTTTTATTTTTTATTTTTTTTTTACTGTTTTTAATTCACAGCAAATGAACTTTGTCATCAGATGCCAAAGTTATTTTTTTAATTTAATGAAATTTCATTTAAAGTGGACAAACATTAGTTTACAAAAAAATATTAAGAAACAATTTTTTTTTCAAATCAAAGGTAACTTGTTTCTATAATATAAAAACTTGTTTACATAAGCCATTGATTTCTTCGTCGCGATTCTCTGTAAGAGCTATCTACAAAGACGTCGGGCATTTTTTCAGATTGTTTTACTCACTTGTCAGAGCCCCTCTTCCTTTCCTACCCTCTTTAAAAGGAGTTTGTCAAGCAGCCCGAAAGACTTCTACCCCAAATATCCGACTTGGATGACAACAACTCATCAGTGCACGCGGTGAACTCTTTGAGACGGATGTTTAAGTAATTCTCCAAAAAATCCACTTTAAAGTTTAGAATTAGTTAAAATCTGATTTTAAAAAATGCATCAATTTATTTTTTGTTTTCTTCGAAAAAAAAAACTTTGAATGAGGAAAAATTGAGAAAAAGAAAAATTGAGTGAGTGAAGGGCTTGCTTTTTAGGCCAATAAAATACTAACTGAACATGGCTCCAAGTTTAAAATCAACATTGAGGCCGTGGATCTCCATGATCATGATCTAAGTAACGAGCATGACTTGAGAAAATGCAATGAATATGACCATCCAGTAGATGCGCCTGAAACAAAGAAGGTATGCAGCCGGACCAACATGCGATTTGAGTGTCTCTTGCCGCCCTTTACCATTTTCTCATAGGATTGTATCCATTTGTTTCGGGGACTGAATTTTCGCCAAAAATGACGAAAAAGAAACTTACGATCGGTAGGTATTTACGGTTCCATTCATCCAATGGTAATACTTTCCAAAGTGATTAAGTCAGCTTCAGTTTTGACTGGCAGAGTAATAGCTTCTTACTTAACAGACCTGACTACAGGAAGAGGGGGTTGATTCTACTTTTATGGAATTTAATTATTGCGAAATTAAGTGTTTCTTCATTCACTTATCATTATTTATTTTTTGATTCTTCTACAATTCTCAATGACGATCATCCTTTATAATTTTAATAGTAAATTTTTAATACAGCGTGCCGTGATCTGACAGATGAGATTTTTAACGACTTTTGTCTCAAAACTACGTTTTTTGAACTGCAAACTGCACTTTCGCCCCTCTATGTCCGCAAAACATTATTTTCTCTGCTCTAGTAATAACTTGTCATTCAGTTTTTGTGAACTGAGGCTCATTTTCCCGTGAATGGATATACTTATGCGTATCTGAATAAATTGTGCTTTTCTATAATATGCGTACTTCCGAAGTTTTACAATGCATGAAAGGCACCGATGACGAAGCAGCAAGTGATATGAAAGACAATATATTTTAGAACCCCTTGTGCTGCTTTCTTCCCTATAGGGTAAAAATTACTTCCGGTAGTGATCGGTCAGATACGTCTTCATGTGGCCCTCCAAGTGGAAGTGAATGTCTCGTCCCGGGGATAGGATCCAAACTTGAAAAGTGAAAATTTTCCAGAGCAATCGAAAAACTGTGATAAAAAACCGCGATAAGTAATTTTATGTTTAAAAGGTCACTTTTGTCAAGCAATCGGCTGAAGGTCAGTTACAGACATTATCTCGGGAAACAATTAAAACTAAATCAAAGTTCTACCTATAAAAAAAATAATTTTTCACACAAACAAAAAAGAGGAGAAAGAAGAAGAAATAGAAAAAAATTGTGGAAAAATTTTTTGAGTGGAACTTTTTTCCAAACAAACCACCGAATACCTTGGAGGATTTAAGTTCTTCAAAAATGCAATAATAAAACTTACAGATACAGTGCAATATCATCGCCAGCAAATTTTCTTGTTCTTGAAAATAATGAGGAAACAGAAATGGAACACCGAGAACTCAAACAATGTGGTTGTTTCTGCTGAAACGAGAATAAATTGATAATTTCAACGCAGGTTGGTTACCGTGGCAACTTCTGAACTGTTGATTATGACGTTGAAAGGAGGTTGCAAAGCATTGGTCATACGAATTATCGCAATGATTTCGTTGGTATAAACCGGAAATGACATCAGGATCTGTTAATGTTCATCGATATTCAACCACTCATTAAATGTATATATTAATGGACTGGCCATTTCGTAATTTCCGGTTTACATTGACGAAAATAATAATGGTATGGCCGAAGTTATTCCCTCCACTATTGAACAGTCATTTTTCTTGCCAAGTTATAAAAGCACCTATCTACAAAAGATACTAATTGCACATACATTACTTTTAAAATGAGCTAGAAGCGACGGTCCCTTGTTGCAAAATGTTCTACAATTACAGGACATTGAAAGAAAATGATGATTATTTTAATGAAGAAAAAGCAAAACTTCGTGCAATATTCTTAGCTGTACCAGCAGTTACAACAAAAATGTGAAAAGTAGCTGTAAAAATAAATGAAATTAGAGCTGTTTGGATCAAGTATGTACCAATCTTAAAGAAGAATTCAAGAACCAAACCCGGAGCGGAGTTTAATCGATAATTTGTGACTTTTAATAGGAGCAGGCGTAAGAGGCGCCTACAAATTGAAAGGACGCAACACTAGAGACAGCCCTAACTGTAGCGCGAACAGGCGCGAACCATTCCAGGCGACGCGACATGACGTGACGACCTACATGCAGTTAGTTCCCTCTAAAATCCAATATTAAAAGCTTCATATTCACGAAATGATACAGCATAGGAACTGTCAAAAGACCAATTATTTGTATCCGGAAATTCATCTAGTTTTCAACGCAAATGCCAAAAGTAACTCATTTCGACATTTATGCGTCTAACAATTGTAAGCGAAGTTCTGTGAAACGCCTACATTAGCTCGAATGTCATTGAAATATATTTCAACGAGATTTTCATTTGTCAAATAAAACCCGTAGCACCCTTTACGGAATCGATGGCCTTATGAATGCATAGAAATCTGTAGAATATGGATGAAACTTTGGTCGTAGACTTTATGGATTCGTAGACTTGACGAATGTCCGTGGTTTTAGCAGGGAAACGATCAGATCTTCGGTGGTATATTTACGCTCCAATAAAAATAAAAAGATTACTCAGTAAATTATTGAACATGCAAAGCTTATTTTCGGTTTTAGATGTTGCTGCAGCCTGCATGAGTCTTACAATTTCATAAAGTCGTTGTAGTATCAAAACAATTCCTGGTTTTTTTAGTTGGATTTAACATAGTGACGAGGTGTGGTTTATTCTGGAACTAAAATCACCTTAGGGGACCTCCACAGAAGGGGTTCTCGTATTGAGCCGATGGGTACCGTACCGCGATACCGATGACTTGACTTCCGCTCTCATAGTAACCTCTTCCCGTTTGGAAGAAAGTTACTTTTTTCGCGACGATAACACTATTCGACCACGAGGAAGCTCGTGCTGCCGACACTGAAATTAAAGGCGAACTCACATGGCGTTAATGTAACCTTTTCCTGTTAGATAAATTGTTATTTCTTTAATGTGCTCCGAGTAAGATGCAATTTCACGATGATGGCACTACTCTCCTTCCCTCTCGCTTTTTCTCTCTCTTTTCTCCATCCTCTTTCTCTTAACCTCTGTTTTTTCTCGTCACTGCGTTTTTTTCTTTCTCGTTTCCTCTTTTCTTTCTATTCTTCCCCTTCATTCTCTTTACTGCTTTTCTTTTCTTTTTTCTTCACCTTTCTTACCCCTATTCCGCCTCTTTCTCATTTCCTCTTCTTTCTTTCTTTTTCTTTAGCTTCGTATATTTTCTTCCTATTTCTATTTTCTCCATCTTCTTCCTCTTCGTTCTTTCTCCTCTTATTATATCTCTTCTGATTTTCTCTTTCTCCTCCTCTTTTTCTACGTCTTCTTTTTCTTCAATTCCTTCTCTTTTTTATGCCATTTTCCCTCTTTTCTTCTTTCTCTTTCTCTTTCCTTCTTCTGTTTATTTTTTCCTCTTCTTCCTCTCATCTTTTTCCTTACCCTCCTTTTTATTCCTCCTTTTTTTTTCTCCCCCCCCCTTCTCCTCTCTTGTGTCATTTTCTGTTTGGAAGGGAGATAAAAAAGTAACAGTTTAGTGGAAAATGTCGTAAGAGAAGGACTCACTTTACTGACTGTTGATCGATAAAACGGTAAATGCGCTTGAACCGTATTCGAACTGAACCTTCATACAACAATAGCGACATGATATGGATGCTCGTGTTGCCAATACTAAAAATTGAAGGCAGACTGACATGGCGCTAAACTAAACTCTTCCCGTTTGGTAAAAAAGCTCTTTTCTGTGCGTGTCCAGGATGAGAGTGCCATTTTACCATGATATCACCATTCGTCCACGTGGAGAGCTCGTGTTGCCTACGATCAAAATTAAAGGCAAACTGACATGGCGTAACCCTGGTAAAAATTGGCGATAGGAGCTGCGTTTCAAAATACCATAGGAGTTCTTATAGCCGACTGAAGAAGGCGATAGAAAATCATATAGCTGGCTGTAGAAAGTGGAAAAAATCATACGGCCGGGCCACACGAAGCTATAAAAAAGTATACAGCCGGGCTATAGTTCCTATCGCCGGGCTTTACACTTTATCGCCTGGCTGTTGCTTTTTCGCCATTGGCTATAAAAGGCTATAAGGAATTGTGTAGAAATTCTTGTGCTTTGTAAATCCTTAGGTTTGTACGGAATCACCTTAATATTTACAAAACGCACATTATAAATTCCTTTACTACATATTTTTTTTCATCAATTAAAATGAGAATAATCCATACAGGGTGTGCAAAAATTTCAAAGTCATGAGTTGAAAAACGCCGACTCCACGAGATTAAATATGAGAGCCTAACACAAAGCGGAGCGGCGGCGCACTGGCGCCTACAAACCTAACAGGGATACTTCACGCATTGCGCAATGCGTGAAGTATCCCTGTTAGGTTTGTAGGCGCTGCCCGCCCGCCGAGCCGCGCCGCAGCGTACCACGGCGCTTGAAGCAACTATTCCACACCAGAGGTATTGCACAGTATCGTACGGAATTGAAGGCGCTCCAATATATTAGGAATGGCAGGCATCCTTCAAAATTACGGAGCTTTCCTCGCAAAATAAATCAAGATACTACGGCCCGAAAAGAGAGCGGTAGTCCAAAAACTCACCAAGTCCTAGCATCCGTAATTAGTAACGTTTAGCATACACTTTATCGCCTAGCTATTGCTTAGTCGCCATCGGCTATAAAAGGCTATAAGAAATTGTGTAGCCGGCTATAGAAGCTATTGGAAATCTTGCAGCCGGCTGTAGGTCTATGGTATTTTGGAACCCAGATTCTACTGCCAATTTTTACCAGGGAAATGTGCTCATTCATTACTCGTTTGGTAAAAAATTGTTTTTAGAGTGTTTTTTTTTTAGTTAGAGTACTATTTCACGATGATACCACTTTTCTACTTCTTTCCCATTTCTTCATTCTCTTTACGCCCTCTTTAACCCAGGACGGCAAAAGGCAAACATGATGTCACAGACCCCGCTCAACTCTAACTGATAACCAAACGAACAAAAGCTGTTTTCGCCTATACAAGACACACATGGTCCCTCGGGCCGGATAAAACCGCTCAGCTAGAATAAAAAACCAAACGCATATCCGCTACTTTGCGTATGATGACCGATCGAATCAAAGCCCTTCAGACTGGATAAAACCGCTTACTTTCCATTGGAAACCCGACGGACATCTGCTGTTTCTGGCTAGAACATGAGAGTGGGAGTAAGCCTGAAATAGTCGCTCCCACTCGGTCGTCGGCGGTCGGCTGGAGCGTGCTGCGGTTGGCGGGCTCGGACGGCGCCTCAGTCGCTGCTCCAAGTCGGCGTGAATCGCGAATCCCGTTCTGTGCGTGGCGTCTTATCCGCGAATTCCAATAATCGATAATCAATAACCGATACTCAGGATGGGGAAGCAAGTGCCGGCAGTGGGAATCGATCTGGGGACGACGTACTCCTGCGTCGGGGTCTGGCAGCATGGCAAAGTGGAGATCATCGCCAACGACCAGGGCAACCGCACCACCCCCAGCTACGTCGCCTTCAACGACACCGAGCGACTCATCGGGGATGCCGCCAAAAGCCAGGTCAGACACCCTCAACAACTTTTAACGGGGTGGATATTCGGACCTGCTCAGCGACATCGAACACTGGAGGAAAATGACTTGAATTTGCCGTCAAGATTTCCTCTCGAATCAAGAATAAAATTAGTACAATGGAGAATTTGCAGGTGTCTGAAATTTGATGAATTTCGTGTTCAAGTGGAAGTTACTGAGTGAACTGAACACACAGGGATACCCTTGGTTCATGAATTGAACAATTATGGAGAAGATCTGACAAAATGCTCTAATCTGCTAAAATACGTGTGTTTAAATGGGAAATGCCGCCATATGACGTCACTAGGCAGTGCATTTTCTCACTTTTAAATCGATTTTTATACTATTTCCCATTCCCATATCAGAAAAAACTATAAAAAATACTGTGAAATCAGCTCTTTAAGGTCTTTCAGAGGAAGGAATAAAAAATTTGCATGCAAATTCTCCACTCAGCAGTTTCTGCATGGTGCGAATGACTTCCTTTTTGATACAACATCTTCCCTGCCAGATTTAAGCGAGTTTCTTTCTTAGCGGCAAATTCAAGAATATATAGTCACTTTTTTCCAGTGGGTGTTGCGGCATTATGCTTGGTTCCATCATTGTAAAAGAACCTACACCTACATGTCTTCGATTCACGGAGTTCCTGTTGTGTCTTTCCAGGTGTATATTTTTTGAAAGGTATTTCGAATACATATTTTCGGAGAGAATTTCAGACCTCAACGCTTTCAACGTAGTGTTTGAGCCATTATATTGAGGAATAACTCTTCTTTTGGTCCAATTATAAAGTCTGGAATGTATCCGTCGTTTTTCTCAAAAGGCCACTGAATTCTAGTTGACTGAGAAAAATAGTTGCAGTAAGCAACAGCTGATTATCTTCCCCATATTTCGGATTTTCCCTCTGCAAATGTCACCGTCTGTTAAAGGAGGGTCATGGGCCCCGAAAAACTTAAAAGTTAGCTACTATATCCAGATTTGATCGATCGGCCTCGTCTACAAAAATTCTGAAACGAAAAATGTCCACGCAAAAATTTTAAAGCAAACCGGAACCATGCAGCTGGTATGAATCTTCCGATGTAGAAAAAAATATAATTTTTCTACATCGCAAACAAAAATTTTCTAAAAAAAACATTTTCTAACAAAAAGCTAGACAAAACTACCTAAAATTCTAATTTGCTATGTTTAAGGTACAACCCAACCAATTAAAATGAAAATTCCTGAGCCGAACACCCCCCTCCCCCTCT